CGGGGTTGGGGTGGGGGTGCAGGGGCGGGGGTAGGGTGGGGGGTTTAGGGGGTGGGTTAGGAGGGGTAGGAATCGTCAATTTTGCGAACGGAGCACCGGAAGTGCCCCAAAATGACGGCGGCACCGGAGTGGCACCGGATTCCAGTGGCACTGGACCAGGCCGGTGATAATAGCATTACAATAAAAGATATACTCGTAATTGTCTGGTGACATTCTAACTATTTTCCCATTCTAGGGAGCATTTGAAAAGTTAATTTTGACTAGCATAACGAAACCGTCACAAGCAAATACTGGGAACTCTTCTTTGTTTTCCTCGGCTCTGGAGACTTAGCTACGCTATCACGCACGAGAAAAGGCCACCGGCGACCGGCAAATTGACGAAACGGAGGCGGGATACCCTCATCCGTGCACGCCTGGAGCTCCTCAACTTTCTCCTGGTATGGACCTCAAATCCCTAAAAATTAGGGTTGGTGGGTTTTGATTATATATTTGTCCGCCGAAACCCTCATGGCCCTAAGCCTCTAATAGAAACGAATATATGGCCGCTTCAAGCGTTATTGCGAAATTGGAAACACAAATCATCCATGTTTTCCTAGTTATTCACTACCTTCGTTCCATTTTCTGTGTGTTTTTCTTTCTATTCGTTCTAGCTGGGAAATATTTTGGGAGATGAGAAAGTAGCATTAGAATGGAAATAAAAAAACTCTAAATAGTAAAGTATGAACTTCAAAGCTCTAAATTAGAGATTTGATAAAATGAACATTTATTTATGAATTATGAATGCACATCATGTAAAATTTATGATTTGGTCCCGTTTGGTACATGGAATTCGAACTATGGAATTGGAATTGGGGACTTCAATTCCAATTCTGGTGTTTGGTAGCACAAAATTTATGTGAATTTGGAATTGATAGTGCAAAAAATGAATTGAAATTGGCAAAATTCAATTCTATGGAATTGAATCCCATGGAATTTCAATTCCAATTCCACCAATTCCGTATACCAAACGGACCCTTTGTGAATTTCAAATTTGAAACCCTGATTATGAACTACTTTGTATTTAGTGAGGGCTTCTATGACCTTGGAGTATTTATGATTACAAGTTGAGTCACAAAATGTCATAGTCATGCCATAGTGGAAGAAGTTTAAAAAGGGTAGTTCGGGTATTGAGGCAGGTTGTTCCAAAGAGGTTAGCCTAAAAAATATACCAAAAAAATAAAAAAAGTCTAAGTTGAATGGGTTCGGCAGTTTCCTGCTGTATGCTGCTCCAGAATCGGGATGGGGACATTCTTGGGGTTGCGTATTGTAAAATTACGAGTCCTTCACACCCCCAAATCTTACGTGGTTTACCGTGAATCTTCATCTCAGGCCTTTTACTGTCCTGCTTTGATGTTTTGATGAACTGTTGACATTTTACTCTATTATATGCTAGGTACAGGGTGTATCACACGTATCTGTGCTTGCTAGCTGACTATTGTTATGGCAGACTCTTGGCCTGAAAAGAGTGGTGAACTGAGAGATGGAGATAAACAGGATAGGGATTCACAGAAAGATAGGGCTCGTAGTCGAGATAGAAGGAAGGAAGATAGAGATGCTCTAGAAAAGGAAAAGACAAAAGACAGGGTTCGAGAGAAAGACAGTGATAAGGATAGGCATAGAGACACAGAGAGAGATAGAGCAAGAGAGAAAGACCGTAGATATCATGAAAAGGAAAGTGAGCGAGATAAGGAGTTGGAGAGGGATGGTGGACGGGATCGGCATAAGGAGAGAGGAAAAGACAAAACCAGGGATACAGACAGAGACAAGGATAAGTACAGGGAAAGGACGAAAGATAGAGAAAAAGAAAAGGAGAAGGATAGAGAGAAGCAAAGAGAAAGGGAACGAGAATATGATAGGGTGAGAAGTAAAGACACAAGTGAAAAAGAAAAGGGAAGACATAGAGTTAAGGAGCATGATAGGCAGAAGTCAAGAGACGCAGATGGAAGTGGTGGGAAACTACAGAATGAAGTTCATAATAGGAACTTGGACGTGGGTAAGGATGAAATGTCAAGATTCAATGGTAAAGATGGTGATGGTGGGGACTCTCCTGAACAGGATAAGGCGCTAGCTGATGATGTTGGTACGCCTCTCATGAAGGGCGTACCTGTTGGACCTGGATCTCAACCTTCTGTTTCAGAACTGGAGGAGCGCATTTTGAAGTAAGTACTTGACAGTTAAATACCATTTTTGGTTCTGCATGGGCCATCTATGTACTTGTCTGTATTTGATTGATGCATGTCATTAATATAAAACATTCTAGAAACAATGTTTACTTTTTCTTAAAAGATGTAATTAAATGTACATTTGGGTATTTGACACATTGTATGTCTATCATCTCTATACTAGAAAGGGGAGACTCTCCTGTGTATGTATAATCCAGGGAAGGGCTGGACAATTTGGTATTGTTTGATAAATCAAACTGTACTGGTTTGGATGGTCCAAAACATCCCGGTCTCGGGAGGGGCAGGACTCAATTCTTCTGTATCCTGTCTTGGTGGGACAAATGTGGTCCTCTAAGTTGTTGAGCTACATTCTATGGAAGAAATGAACTATAGCAAATATGAGAATCCTTGTTTCTGACTTTATGTATAAATTTATGTTTAGCTATACAAAATTCATAAGTAATTTTACTATAATAAACTTTAAGAAAAATAATTGTGCAATTCCATCATTCCCATGGGCTGCTAGACACTGGGCATGAGTGGCATGACTTTCATTGGGAAAATCAAGTCATTGTTATCCAACGTAGTCCCTTCTAGTCCAATCTCATGTCACTTGTGAAAAATGTGTCTATTAGCTCTGATTTATGCCTCTTGAAACTTTATCTTATAATGTGACACTATATTTCTATGAGACATTTTCCCATGGCTTTGACCCATGATCTCATGGTAACATGGCTGCAGTTTTATCACTGTGTCAAGGCTTCCATTCTATTATATGGATATCATTCTATGAGCATGTTCTTTAAAACTTAAACTCTTAACTTCCCGTCTCTTCCACTTTCTTCGAGTTCTTTCCAGTTCCTTCCAATTTATTTAGTTTCTTCTACTATTCCCATTTTCTTTAATCTTTTTCTACTTCCCAAATAATGACCTTAAAAATGATGTGTTTTTTATGTATTATTACTATTATTATTATTTTTAGGTTTACTAATTTTATTATTATTGTTGTTGTTGTTATTATTATTATGTTCATAACTATAGTTTATTTTCAATTTTTATTTTTTCCCATGTCACTTTTTTGTGATTCACACTCATTATTATTTTTCTCACTTTTAATATCAATAATACGGTGTACAGTTTTATTGGGAAAGTGTTTTTTTTTTAAAATTTACATGACACTAAATGATTTCCTAAAAATTAGGAATATTTTATTAATTTAAATTGATCTGGGAAAAACTTCAATACTTTAAATTAAAAATAATAATTATACTACTCCCTCTGTCCCTAATTAAATGGCACATATACTGTTCACGTGGTCGAATTTTATTCACTTTCTTTACCTATTATTTGTGATAGTTATAATGAGAATAGTAATCATAATAATAATAATAATAGTAATAGTAATAATAATAATAATAATAATAATAATAATAATAATGTTAATAATAACTACAACAACAACAACAACAATAACAATTATAACAAGAATGTTATGTAAAATACATTTAAATCACTTTTTGAAGTTCCTTCTAGTTCCTTGCAATATTTTCCAGTTTCTTCCAATTCCTTCTAGTTTTTTCCAGTTTTTTCTAGTTTCTTTCAACATCCAGCTCTTTTTTTTAGCTCTAAAGAACAGGCTCTATATGTAATAGTTTTTGGCTTCGCTATTATTCAGAAGATTTTAGCTGCATAATATTTGATTTCTGTCTGGTTTGATGGAGGTGGGGTTTGAATGTTTGATATTGCCTGGATTAACAAAAGTAGCCTTTTTTTGTTGATTATCTTGTACATTTTTACTAGATGTAAAAGACATTTGTTTTAAAGTATTGGTAAATATTAGCCTTAATTCTCACTGGTGCCCTGTTTTTTGCCAGGATGAAGGAAGAAAGATTGAAGAAAAAAACAGGTCCTTCTGAGGTTTTAGACTGGGTCAATAAGAGCCGCAAAATTGAGGAGAAAAAGAAGGCTCAGAAGGCCAAAGTGGTGCAGATCTCAACATTTTTTGAAGAGCAGGTAGATAATTCTGTTTTCGGACATTCTCCTTTATTTATTGAATACTATGTCTTTCTTATGAAATGCCCCCACCCAGGCCCCAGCCAAAGAAAAAGGAAAAAAGAAATGAGTACAAATTTCGTTACCAGGATCAGAATGAATAGTTGCACTGTAAATTTGGTGTATTAATGTTTCAGGATGAGATTGGTCAAGAAGATGATGATAGTGAGATAGCAACACAACACTCTACTGGTACTGCTCTCTCCCTCACCCATTCCCTTCTCTCTGTGTTAAAAAATGTCTCATTCTATCCTCCTGATTTTCCCCATTTTGGTCGAATTTATAATTTATTGTATGTTAACATTCAATAGGAGAGGATAAAATGGAAGAATTTTTGTTAGTCACTGAACATGATTCTCTATTTCTCCTATTGGTTCATGTAGCCGACCCCAAGCCACTTGAAATAATGTTTAGTTTTTGTGAGGATAAAATGATAAATGAAAGTAATTTGATAAATGATAATTGATGTGGTACTTTTATCTTGAACTGTTAATAGTATCTACTTTTATCTGTTCGGTTTTTTGGACACCCTTTAGCAGAAGAGCTAGGTGGAGCTAAGGTTCTCCATGGGCTTGACAAAGTGCTTGAAGGTGGTTCAGTTATCTTAACACTCAAAGATCAGAGCATACTTTCTGGCGATGACATAAATCAAGGTACATAGTCAAGACCTGTGATTTATACACCCTCCATCTGTTTGCATATCCTGTAGTCTTCATCTTTTCGGGATTTGTGAACTCAGATTCTGAGGTGAGGTATATTGTATATCTCAGAGGTTGATATGCTTGAAAATGTGGAGATTGGAGAGCAAAAGAGGAGGGATGATGCATACAAAGCTGCAAAGAAGAAAACAGGGATTTATGATCGGAGGTAAGGTTTAGTAAATACTCCGTAACTGATAAAACAAGGTGTTTATGATCCAGATGCTTTACATGTTTCTGTTATCTAATTCATGTAGTGACGAGCCGGGTTTTGAAAAGAAAATGCTTCCTCAATACGATGATCCTATGGAGGAAGAGGTATTTTTTTCTCTCTAATAAATTCTTACTGAATTGCTATATTTATTTGTGCTGTCTTTTTTAATTTTCTTATCCTTAATTTTAGAGTGTAGCTCTTGATGAAACTGGACGTTTTAGCGGTGATGCAGAGAAGAAACTGGAAGAGGTAATTAATTTCTTGTGCATTTAAATTGTGGGTGATCCATTGGAACGTAACATGTATTTTTTTTGTTGATCGAAATATGCTTACATTTTTTTGATATGCCAGCTCCGAAAAAGAATTCTAGGGGTTGCCACAAAAAATAATGCTGAAGATCTCAATTCTTCAGGCAGAGTATTGACAGACTATTATACTCAAGAAGAAATGCTTCAATTTAAGAAGCCCAAGAAAAAGAAGTCACTAAGGAAGAAAGAGAAGCTGGACATTAATGCCCTTGAAGCAGAGGCTATCTCTACTGGATTGGGTATTGGGGATCTTGGTTCTCGGAATGACAAGACAAGGCAGCAACTGAAGGAAGAAAATGAGAGAGCTGAGACTGAGAAGCGAGATAAGGCATACCAGACTGCATACGCAAAGGCCGAGGAAGCTTCTAAAGCTCTTCGACCTGTTATTGCCAAGGCTGATGACGATGATGATGCTGCATTTGATGATGATGCTGATGATGAGGAGCTTCGGAAATCATTGGAAAGGGCAAGAAAATTAGCTCTGAGAACGCAAGAGGCCAGTAAATCTGCACCCGAGACCATTGCATTTCTCGCCACTTTGAATGCAAACAATTCAACTGTAGATAATAATAGCCACACCTCTGCATCTGGGGAGTTGCAAGAGAATAAGGTCGTCTTCTCAGAAATGGAAGAGTTTGTCTGGGGTCTTCAGCTCGATGAAGGTAGATGCCTTCCCTATAAACTTGGTGTGTCATAGTGGTTTTAGTGATCAATTTTATCGTCTATTCTGAAACTAGATTGGAATGTTTGAGTGAGATATTGAATGTTTCTGTTCCCTGTGCTCCCTGTTTTATCACACTCCCTTGTTTGTCTTTTCTCCAGGCACCATTGTATATTTCTAGATGAGAAAATAATGAATTGATACCATTCCTAACAAGCTTTTATTAGTTTTATGTCAACGACTCAACCTTGAGTCTCTCCATGTCCCATCTGTGTTTTTTGGTCCCTGTTTAGTGTGCCACATTTACTCTCACCTAGTTTTTTTCTTTATAACGTTGCACTGTTGGTAGATATAGTTGTGTTCTGGTATCATATATTTCTTTACTGTTTCAGATGCAAAGAAACCTGGTGATGAAGATGTTTTCATGGAAGAAGATGTGGTACCTAATTCTCCTGATAAAACATCTATAACCGAGGATGGTGGCTGGTCCGAGGTGAAAGAAACTGAGAAAAAGGAAACAAATGTGAAGGAGGAGGAGATAGTTCCAGATGGTACGATACATGAAGCTGCTGTTGGGAAGGGGTTATCTGGAGCTCTCAAGCGTCTGAAAGATCATGGATCACTCAAGGAAACAATTGAATGGGGTGGTCGAAGCATGGACAAGAAGAAAAGTAAGCTTGCTGGCATTCTTGATGAGGAAGGGCCTAAGGAAATACACATTGAAAGGACTGATGAGTATGGTCGAATTGTAAGCTCTTTTGCTCAACTAATCTTTCCTTTTTCAACATTTGTACACTCTTCAATTTATCGTTAGTTAATCATCACTTATATTTTTTTGTATCTATTTTTCTCTCTGTTTATCTGTTTTGCTAGTTGACTCCAAAAGAGGCATTTAGGTTGATTTCCCATAAGTTTCACGGAAAGGGCCCTGGTAAATTGAAACAAGAAAAACGCATGCGGCAGTATCAAGAAGAACTAAAGATAAAACAAATGAAAAATTCAGACACACCATCGCAATCAGTGGAGAGAATGCGGGAAGCTCAAGAAAAACTGAAGACTCCTTATCTAGTTCTTAGTGGAAATGTTAAACCAGGGTATGTCTTTCCTTCTATAATTGATGTAGTGGTTATATACTTATATTTTGTCTCCTTTTGATATTTGAGGCTTCCATCCAAGTATATTGATGTTGGTTAATTCCAGTCCAGAATATAGTTTAAATTTAAAAATAAATAAGTAAAAAAAGGGCAGGCAGTTAGGCAGTTACAGGCAATTTTATGACAGTTTCCAACAGATGTGTTGGTTAGGAACTGTTGTGTCTATTTGTAATGGTTGTGTTGTTTAGTCCTCTATTTATATGTATGGAAACATAGTTCTGGACAGCAGTTCCACAATAAAACACACTTTGTTTATATACTCCAGAGTCCAGATCTGATTTTTATTCTCTCAATTGGTATCGGAGCCCTGGTTAAGAAAAAAAATCAAAAACACAGATCTGTGATCAGTAGTTGTCTTGCAATACGCCTGAAAAACAATAGTCTGTGATGGAGGCCATCAATACTAAGAAAACAAACGATGTTGTTGCTGTTACCCCAGTTCGAGATGGAGGCTCGACAACGTACCAATGTCCTGTACTCACTACAACGAATTATACATCTTGGGCTATCAAGATGCAGTCGTTTATGGATGCCCAAGGAATTTGGGATGCCATAGAACCACCGGATGCGACGGAGGTGGACGTCAAGATCCGGAAGAAGGCAAGGGCCTTTATCTTGCAGGCACTACCGGAAGACATTCTGATGCAAGTAGCAGGACATGCAGAGGCCAAGGACGTGTGGGATGCACTCAGGGTGCGTTATCTTGGAGCCGATCGGGTTAAACAAGCACGAATCCAAACTCTAAACAGAGAGTTTGAACTGCTGAGAATGAAGGAAAGTGAGAGTATTGATGATTTTGCAAGCAAGATCAGCAAGATCGTGTCTAAGGTTCGGGAACTTGGATCGACAATTGAGGAGAAGAAACAAGTAAATAAGTTGCTTAATCCTGCCACAAACAAGTTCCTTCCAATTGTTGCCACAATAGAACAGTATTCAGACTTGAATACTATGGCGTTTGAGGAAGCTGTTGGTAGCCTTAAGGCCTATGAGGAACGGATTACTCCTAGCGGGTCTGTCAAAGATTCATCAGATCAATTGTTGTTAACAAGGGCTGAATGGAAAGAAAGGTAGAAAACGGAATCCGGCAGGGGACGTGGAACAGGATTTAGTGATCACCGTGGCCGAGGTCGTGGGCGTGGCAGACCTAACGGGCATGGACGAGGGGGCCGAAATCCGTCAAATAATAACCGAAGTTTTGGACAGGATGAACAATGTGGTAAACGTGACCGAAGGAACCTGCGGTGTTATAATTGTGATAAGGTTGGTCATTTCTCCGCCGAGTGTCGGGCTCCTAGAAGAACCGATGATGAAGTTAATCTAGCAAAGTAAGAGGATGAACCCACTTTGCTAATGGTAAAGAATGTACAAGATGTGGTGATGCTGAATGAGGAGAGAGTGTTTCCTTGTGAATATGCCAAAGAGAGCAGCGAGGAAGGCACGTGGTATTTAGATAATGGTGCTAGCAATCACATGACCGGGGAACGGGGTTATTTTAGCAACCTTGATGAAAAGATAGTGGGTCGTGTGAAGTTTGGAGATGGTTCAACAGTTGAAATCAAAGGCAGAGGATCTATTCTTTTGCAATGTAAGAATGGTGACCAGAGGCTCATCACCAACGTCTACTATATTCCAGACCTATGTAATAATATACTAAGTTTGGGCCAACTTGACGAGGTGGGATGCAAAATTGTTATGGAGGACAGTTTTCTTTGGCTATATGACCGTTCAGGAGCAACATTGATGAAAGTGAAGAAGTCTCCAAACCGACTATATAAGGTACATCTTCATATAGTTCAACCAACATGTTTACTTGCAAAGATGGATGAGGCAGCCTGGATTTGGCATGCACGCCTTGGACACTTAAACTTTGATGCTATAAGGAAGTTATCAAAAGAAAAATTGGTGATTGGTGTGCCAAACATAAATCACAAGTCACAATTGTGTGAAGCTTGTCTCGTTGGGAAGCAACGACGTCTTCCATTCCCATCCCAAATTTCTTATCGAGCACAGCAGCCCCTTGAACTGATACATGCTGATCTGTGTGGTGCTATTACACCGAGTACACCATCTGGGAACAGGTACTTTTTATTGCTAGTTGATGATTTCAGCAGATTTATGTGGGTACATGTTATCAAGTTCAAAGGCCAAGCATGTGAGGCATTCAACAAGTTCAAGAAGTCAGTTGAATTGGAAAATGGTTACAAGGTGAAAGCATTGAGAACTGATCGTGGAGGTGAGTTTGTCTCTACCAACTTTGAACAACTTTGCAATGAAGAAGGTATAAATAGGTATTTAACCGCACCATATACGCCACAACAGAATGGTGTGGTTGAACGCCGAAACCAAACTGTTCTTGGAACCACAAGATCTATGTTAAAGGCCATGAATATGCCGCAATGGTTGTGGGGGGAAGGTGTACGACATGATGTCTACATCTTGAACAGAACTCCGACAAAAGCTTTGGTAAAGAAGACCCTGTATGAAGCCTTGAAAGGACGGAAGCCCAATTTGGAACACCTAAAGGTGTTTGGATGTATGGCGCATGTCAAAGTACCAACACCCAAATTAACAAAGCTGTCAGACAGAAGCGAGGCAATGGTACATCTTGGGAGTGAACCAGGAAGCAAAGCATATCGACTTTACAACCCAAAGACAAAAAGGTTATGTGTTAGCAGGGATGTCCAATTTGAAGAAAACAGAGCGTGGGACTGGGCTAAAGATTTGGAGACAGAGGGAAATGAAAGTCA